ATACTGTCGAAGTAGTGGGATATGACATACAGTGAGGTGATGATATTGGGTTGGCAACTAAGTCATTNATAAGAAGTTTTGTTTTATCTTAGACATTTATTTGATAACATCGTGTGTTTTTCAGTTAAAGCGAACAATTCTCTATATACAATAGTTACTAAGATATGAAACGTCCTACTGAAAAAACCCTTTTTATTTGCGCATTTTTTTCTTATTTACACTAAAACTCAGTAACCTCACCATAAAAATGCATGATTAATTTCACTAAAGTCTATGGCACTCCAGTGGTTGTGTGCATCGCATTATTTATATGCCATGGCGCTTATTGGAACTACAACATTATTATAATATCAAATGGCAGGCGTTTTGATAGTTTTCATTAGCCCTTTAGTTGACTTCAGGCTTCACAGAGGGGAAGAAACATCAAAGTGAGAAAAGAGTCGAGAGGGGGGAGGAACAGAAGAGTGTTTCAAAGATGTAAAAGATACAGATACAAAAGGAAAGTGGAAGTAGTCAAATATGACATACAGAGAGGTGATGGTATTTTGAAATTAGAAGTCAAGTGCCGGTTAATAGACTTTTTTGCCGTGTGAGTATACGTTGCCCAGGGTGCACCACATGGAGGTAAGTCTATCACGCACCCCAGAATGACAACATTGAGCTCTATATTTGCGAGCCCGGAGGGCTTTGAGCACAGTTCACCCTTATTTCAATTTAAAAATGAGACATGTGTGTCTGGTGGGAATTGGTGAGTCATAGAAATCTTCCTTATTCTAATATCTTCAAATGAATTAGGATTCAACTTTAGAAACCAACCACTCTAAAATGGGGCGAAAAATGATGAAATCGCCACATCTTCATTAAGGTAATCGATTAAAAAGGTATCATTTTGATGATGAATCAAGAGTAACTCCTAAGGCTGCCCAGCAATGCTACTGAATGGGAACGGATGTGCATCAGTTTCGTGGTTCCAGACTTGAAGGTTGTCCATGTTGACCACTTCGCCTCCAATGTGATGGCTTGTTAATATTCAATTGCCTTGGTAGGTAATCAATAAATGTAATCATCCATAAACAATGTAAGGCTTCCATAAATAAGATTAATTAATTATTTACGATAACATTTCTGCCTCCAAAAATGCGGAATTATGGAGATCAGCCCAAATTCCTATTTATTTCCAACCCAAGGTCAGTAGGAAAGCGTTCTCCGCATTTGAGTTCAGCAAAGGCAAGGTATCCGGAAGCAGCATTTTATAACTCATTCTATAATCCATAGCTTAATTTTACTCTCTCCCTCAACCTGACTCAGGTAGCATCGATCACGCGAACTCCCATTTGGCAAAAATATGAGCGTTGACTACTATTCACTGAAGATCACTTCGCTTCTTCAGTTTCGGACCTTTCTCTTGCACAATCGCACTAATATCTACTTTGTTTCTAACACACGCTTTCAATACCATACGGAATATGACAGCGGGTTTCACATACTTCCTCCCCCCCCCCCTCCCCCAACACCTCCTGTGGTTCCTCAAACACTTAATCTTAGTCTAAACTCATTGCGGTGGACGATGGCTTGCAGATCAACTCCACAAGACTATTGGCCTTCAGTTAGTGAACTAAATAACTGGATATTCACAATGTATGTGTGAATGCATTATCTAATTGCCTCCAATATAACTTCACGAACTCCACCACCAAACGTACAATATTCACACAAGAATGGAAAAATCAAGAGACCACAATTCGAGTTCAATCACATCAAATTTTGAGGTAATACTGGGCCAAGAAGAATATTCGGGAATTTCAAACAAAGGGTGATAAAAAGGGTGAGAGGGTGGAGGGGGAGCGGTGGCATTATAGAATTAGGAAAGATCGGGAGCATAATATTACCTATTTTTCAATTCGAAGTTCTCCTTAGAAAAAAAAACAGAGACAAGCCCAGAGGGAGAGAGAGAGGAATTGGGGATGGGAGTAAAAGCGCTGAAATTAGAAGGGGAGTTCAGATATGTACATAGTTTATATACAACGGGATTCTAGTTAGGTCAATTCGTTAAGCAACACCGGTACTGACAAAACCGTTTCTGGAAGTTGTTCCATTTGTGGGCTCTTCAAGAGAGTCATTGGAGCTTGTGGAAACAGCAGGACCTAGACGCAGGAGAGATTGATGAATCGCTTCCAAGGTGGAATTAACGCTCTGGAAGGCTTTTCTTCGTCCTCCAAATTCTGAAGCTGCTGACTGTTTTCCACCTCCCATGCCACAAACACTTCGGAGTGTATCTGCTGCCTTCTGAAGCTTGGCACAATCATCTCGGAAACGGAATTTTGCGTGAGCGGAACAATCCAACTCATCTGCATATCCTAAGCAGGCCTTTTTGAGTCCTTCAATTCTATCTATAAGTGTATTATTGTGTTCGTTTGGTAAATTAACTGTGGCAAGATTGAGATCAGCACAGAGGTTGACAATTTGCTTCAATAGTGCATCATAATTTAGGGTTTGATTGACCGCTGTAGGATTTGACGGGAAAATCATTGACTGGGACATGATAGCTGGAATTTCTGAATCTTCATGACCCTTTTCTTCTTCTTCCTCCGCAACCTCAGATACCGCTTCAACATTTGCTGCTTTTGTTGGTTGATGCTGTTTGAAAGAGGAGTTTGAAGTTGGAGCCCAGCTCATTCGTTTACCAACAGGAGTCTCGGTAGCATTTTTAAGACGTCGTTGGACAACAAGCTCCTTCCAAGCCGGAACAGCAGGCTGTGTTGTAGGCTGAGTTTCAGCTACAGGAGTAGAGGTTGCTTTTAGTTTCGACTTCGAGGCTTTAATCATTTCAGCAGTCACAGCATTTGCGATAGGAGTAGGAGGTGAACGAGTGGGCGTCTCAGCCAGCCTTGAGCTGTCAAGTTGCCTTTTCAACCTCGAAGAAAGCTCCGCATGGAAATCAAGACTTCCACTACTGGTCATTCCATTAAGTGATGACGGAGCAGATGGTATAATCGGCTTAGGACTCGATTTGGCGATGCAGCCTTCTTGTACCTGAGCAGCTGCATTCTGATTCTTTGTCGACTCGGAGCGTTGTGGTGGCACAGGAATTGCTGCTCGATGAGGATTGGCTGATTGCGGTGTAGATACGAAAGTAGCTGTCCAATGAAAAACAAGACAGCAAAGGTTATATAACGAGATTATGGATGCAAGTAAGAGGAACTAATCATATTACATCCTCAGAGTGTGTAAAGTTGAGCAATTTTTGCTCCATGGAAAAAAGTAAGAAAGTCAATGATATTCACCATCTCTACCTAACAGGATCTTGAGCTATTCACATGCATAATGTGATTAACAAAAATGCATGCTGATAATAACTTTAAGTAAATGGTAAAATGTGCGAATGTGGCCAAATTAGGGATAGAGAATATCCCACTTTCCTTACTGTGGAGGAGAAAAGGAGAATGATAAAAACAGATGGCTAGGAGGAGGAGGAGGAGGAGGAGGAGGGGGGGGGGGGGGGGGGAGAATGGATTTCATTAATCGCTGTAAATGGCCTACCTACTTGCAATCTTTCTTAGATTTTTGAAATTTAAAGACAGCTCAGAGTTCTGTTATGTTAAAAGCCTTTAAGATCAACCTTTTAAAGAAATAAAGCTAACCGAAGAGGGATGATCAATCAAAAAGCCCCAGAGGGTGAAAAATAAAAAGTTGGCTAACAAGAAATCTGACTTCAAATCCATATGAAAATTCACAATATGAGAGGGGCTAAGTGATACATATCAATAGATGAAGATGGCGCCCTATCGGTGAATCGCTCAGATTTGGGCATCGCTATTAATTAGCTAATAGAGGATGAGTTCAGGAAGTAACTGTAATGCTATTTCCCCCTTTAATTAACAGAACAAGCGATAGCAGTTTTAAATCAATTGCTTCAATGTTGATCACGAGTTATCTAGCGTTGCTTTGTGAAAGATTAAAGATGTCCCATCAGAAGGTATCACGTTAAGTAAAGAGAAGTTTGCTTAATCCAATATATGATTTATTTTAAGCATTAATAATCGATATAAAGCCTTAACAGTAAGCAACACCTAACAACTAGGTAGAGGGGTGTGCGATAGACTTACCTCCACGTGGCGCGCCCTGGGCAACGTATACTAATACGGCAAAAAGTCTATTTACCTGCAGTTGACTTCTGACTTCAAACTACCATGGCCCGACTCCATGTCATATTCGACCTCTTCCACAATACTTATCTAGCCTTTTCTCTGCCTTTGTGTCTGTCAGTCTCTTTTACATCTGTGAATCATTATTGTCCCCCCCCCCTCTCCACTTTTTGTCACATTGATGTTTCTTCCCTTCTGTAAAGCCTGAAGTCAACTAAAGGGCTAATGATAACTACCAAAACGCCTGCCATTTGAAATAAATAAATACAACCAAGTAGAAGAACGCTGCATGAATAATGGTCTTGTCCCATAGCCTTTTCCGCATTACCTACTAACCAATCCATACAATTAGAACCTCATCATACCGATAGGAGCAACGACTATCCAGGCCATTTGTTGATCGGTTCAGGCTTTCTACTAATGTCGTCTTTTACCTAATAACAAACGAATCCAGTGCATCAGGTAAAGGACAGAGGGGCCTCTCTCTTTACCTGCCCTAAGCACAAGTTTTCACATTATTATTCTCGACTTCTTGTTCATTGGTAAAAAAAACTTGAGAAAATGTGGAGGCCAACATTTACACAAAAGGGCCAATTTTGAACAAAATGTTTGAATTGAGTTAGAATCTTACCGGATGAGACCATGGAGACGGAGGGACTGGCTGGCGACTGGGACAAAGTGGTGTTAGCGAGTAATGCATCGGGAGGAGATGGCAAAATCTCCTCGTTCAGGCGGGAGAAACTATGACAATCATCGATCGAGATCTGCATAATTGAGAGGCGGAAATTAGCGTTACTACTGTAGGAACAAAGGGACGTAGATGTAAATGTACTTTCTAGCAATGAAGTAATAATGTAACAATGCGCAAGTACAAAAGATAAAAATTAATGGGCAAGAGTTGGAATTCAGCGCTCAAGTATATTTAACAAAGGGCAAGTAGCCCTAACGTCAAAGGAAACTAGGATGTTGTATTCATAAAAAAATTAATTAATTAATTATTTGAACGGATTTTTCGTAAAGGAGATGAATCTTATCTGAAGGACATATGATGAGACTACGAGCTGAAGCGTATAATGATAGTTTGTAACCTCTGAAATTCAGTGTATTTATAAGGTAGATATGCGATGAAGGAAGGATAGTTGTTGCTCAAATAAGTAGCACTATGATATAGGCCTTACCATTGCATTATCTTCTTAGTGGGGATATGCTAAAGAGGTAGATGGTTAAGTGACAACAGAATGTGACTCCTAGAGAAACAGAAGTAAAAGGTGTTCATCTAATTGGGGCTCGCAAACTAACATTGACAGTGGGATAAAAAATGTGAACATTAACCAATGTGACCAAGAGTAGGGGGGGTGGCGGCAGTGATGAAGGCAGATGCTGTGCAAAAAGATGAACTTATTCAAGTAGAAGATGGTCATCAACTGTGCGTATTGGGAACAACTATCCAAGTAAAGCGGAGTAGATCAAGTCTTCAAAATTGGAAAGCACACCAAATGATACCCACCGGAAAATTTAGCATTTTATGTGACCGCGATCTGCCCAATTACTTAAGCAATAGATTTCAACCAAGGCCGGTTCACAACTGCTAACACAAATTTAACCAATTTCACAATTTACACACTCTTCAAGAAGAAAGAGATGAGACGGAGGTGGGGAGGAGGCGAATATTTGTGAGCGTGCAGATTAAAGCAAATAAGTGGCACACATGGAGTCCGAAGTGACACCATGTACACAAGAGCTATCAAACAAATGAAACAGAGCCTATCGCCTTCTTAGAACACAAATGCGACAATGACGCGCGAGCGAGTTATTCAACAACTGCTTTTACATTAACTGGCTAATAATTAGTGCAAATCATAGGTAGACAATATTTTGAGTTGCCTTTTTTCGGTGAAAAATTGAATAATACCCACCCGATTGGATAACTCACCCCACATTACACGCAATATTTGCAATAATGACAACACTCAACATAGATAAGCTAAGAAATCTTTTTTTTCTTCTTGAGTACGCTCTCCATATACCTGGAAAGGTGAGAATTTAATTCCTCAATTTTTTCTCAGGTCAGTCTTGCTTTGCCATGTTTGTAGAATTAGCCGCCTTTGAATCTGTTGACAACAATAAACATGGGCTGTAATTGGTTCGCCTAATTTTAGCCATTTGCAGTGGATTACTTCACATCCAGCCCACCAAATGCATAAAAGGATTTTCCGAAGAGTCAGCTTTGACTTGGCTTAGGTGATGAAAAGGGTTATTTAAAGATTTTAAGACAACCAATGTGAACACCTCAACACACCCCCCCCCCCCCCCCCCCACCCTCCCGGCCCCCGGTAACAATTTGTTGTCACTGTCTTGAGAACAAAGAGATGCAAAAATTTCTTCCCTCCTCTTAGTTATAATGGAAGTGTTGGCGCGGCAGCACTAAAAACTTCTCATTCCGGTCAATTTACTCAAGTGCTTAAAGTGCAATTGCTCACAGAAATGGTTCTATTTCTTCCCTAGTTAACCGTGGATCTGATTCAACCAGGGATTTCAACACGTCGTAGAAAGCTGTGGAACGTCCTAACTTTGTTGCATCATTTAATTGAATCCTTCAAACCAAAATGAACACCGGCAGACTGTGAGTACTTGACCATGAATGTCATTTATGACCTTGGTAGACGTTTAAGCCTCTATTTGCTTTGGGGTTGGACAGCTTCACTCACCAAAATAAAGTGGAACAGTTCGCTCCAAATGAGTGTTGCATAATTTGTCTAATAAAGAGATTGACTAACCACCACATTGTTCCCTTCGCCGTGTCTAGACACTAACTTAACTCAAACATCTGTTTGTAAAACGTGTGAGTTCTTATTAATACCGATCCCACTCCACACCTCCCACCCCCCAACCAAATATAAGCAATCAATCACTTCAAAATAAATACCAATCTACTGATAGCAGCCAAATTGTGCAAAATGTGTGTTAGGCAAATTACAAATCAAATCCTACCGACCGACAGCTAATAAATGCCAGCTTATAGCCGTGAATGGAGGTAGTTATAGTTATTATGTTGAATTCAATGCCCGAGGACACATATCAATAGTACATCGCGATATCCACGTCCTTTCCTGCAAATACTGCACAATCCAAGGAGGCAATCGCGTTCACAAAAAAGCTAGACCAAGTTGCATGGCCGTTTGTGTCAAGTTGAGATACGTGGGATATGGGGAGAGGGGAGAGAGCTGACTATGCGCGCATAAATAGGCAATGCAGACAAGGTTATTCAGGTCCCCCACGCAAACAAAATATGGGACCTATTTAAGCAGTCAGTGATAAAGCTTCTGTAACATCAACTGAGTTTTAAGAGAGTGATTTACACAAGCAGAACACGCATGTTCAGAGTGCATATGTTGATCTTTTAGCAAATTAGAATTAGGGTATCTTCATTCTGCCGTCGTTAGAGTACCTCTGATATATATATGCATATGCTATTCTCACCACGAATCGGAGCGTTATGCAAATATAGGCGAATACTACTTAAACAGCGCGATGATAAATAGTAGAGTGATTGACCCCAAGAAACCCGCAGTTATAGACAGTACGTCTAAGGTCACACAATTTTGAAAGTGCGGTTGGCCAGATATGGGGTGAAGATGTCCTCTAATCTGTTCTTCCTGACTCTGCAATACGGTTAGCAGTACAATTTAGTCCAATACGTATCCAGGCCGCTTTAAAGTAGTCAGAATGTGGGTGAAAAGACAAATGCCAACAAAAAGAACCTAAAAAACCATCTTGCTTGTAATTTTGCTCACATCACAAAATATTTACAAAATCCAATCCCCCTCTCAGACTCATATCCCAAAATCGTTCACTTGAATACAAAGCTGTCACAGATTCACAAATAAAAGTAGACAATACCCAAAGAAATAGAGTAGAACGTAAAAAAACGAGGTAGGGGGCTTATTGATGCAGCGTAGGATTTGAGAAGCTGGTCGTAGTCCCCTCCAACACCAGGACGAACTCCGACCAATGCTAAACAGGAGTGACTGGTTTTATTAGAAAAGATAAGAGTGGAAGCACAACGCTACAAAGAGTAACTGGAGCAATGTGACTAATGTGCAGAATAAAGCACGAAAGCAGAAAAGTAGATTGAAATCAATGGCGCTTAAGAAGCACTCCCAACGCAGTGCTTGTTTAATGAACCCCCATAACAATTTCCGTCAAGAATTCAAAGGGAGATGTTTTCTTATTTGTCTATGACGAGTCCTAACCAACTGCAAGCATAAGCACACAAAATAACGAAAAAATTGAAAGGGAATGAAGTTGTCCACCTGAATTGGACCATGTGGCCATTCATTTGGGTCATCTCCCTTCAGAGTAGTTGTGCGTTGAGGTGGTGCAGGTGGAGCGGCTTTTCTACGTCCTAGAGAGCCCGACATTGTTCCCACCGCCCCACTATCCACCAACACCGATCCATCAAACTCCGGTGGTGGTGGTGGTGGTGGAGGTGGAAACATTGAAGTGCTGGGAGAAAAAACCTCAGAAAATCGATTCCCAGGTACCATAGAGCTCGGTTTTGGGCGAGAGCTGGGATAAGCGGGACACTGCTGATGAACTCCGCCAGGAGGACATTGGGAATGCGGATTGGGAATAGCAGGAGCACGTCGTGGAACCATGTCGTGAGTTGTGAAGGAGTTGCCGTGTGCTCGTCTGGGAATTTCATCGGTGTTTGTTACTGGAAGGAATATAGATGTGAATTAGAATGCTTTGTAAATGGGAACCAGCAATGCAGCTATGGTAAACAGGTAAACTTAATTAGTTGGATGGTTAAAGCAACTGCTGAATAATTCATTAATAATCTCACTAATACTAAGGCAAGAGTGGACGAACATGACTTTGAATCTTACAAGTAGTCTGAGTAATAGCGTCCTTTAGTCATTTCTTAATTTCAAGACATGTACTAGCACGATGACAACTGAATGGCAACCACCTACTCTAATCAGGAGCCAGAACAAAGAAGGTCCGCCTTACTGCTCACCTAAATGATACCACCGTAATTATTGCCAACAATACATGAAGTTGGAGAGTGTTGCATACAGCACTACAGCCGATACTTAAAGCGACCTTTCATCTTAAACGTGGCACCAAAGTACACTTTAAAAAAGTAGTCATTTGAATAAAAACCATTCCCATTGGGTAAAAAGGCGATAAATATATATTGGAGCAGGGTAAAACATCAGGCAGCTATTATACAACTGCTGGCAAATACAAATAAAAATTGAAAAAAAATTTACTGCCCAATTTAAAAGCCACCGGAAACCAAATTACTTGCTGGGGGTAGGGACTACCCATAACTTTATTTTTGCACATTTAGTAGCTGCGCAGTTAATTATACCAAAATTCAATTTGCCCAATCAATTTGCCAGTTTGCTGCGACAAAAATGTGTCTTCCAGTCAAGGTAAAAACGCAGATCGCGGGATCAATTCAATACATCCAAAAGATGACTAGATTAGACAAATTTGAACAAGGAAATGGAAAATTCAATCAACGAAATCCGAATTATCCAAAGAATTTTCTTTCAGTGATTCATTGGTCGGGTGTTTAGTAAGACCCAGCAAAAGATAGAGGTAGATAGTCACTGGAATAAACCCCCATCGTTAGATGATTCACTTGATGCTTGGAAGTGACCACCAAAAATACGATATGTACAATCAAATGAAATGTTAAAGCAAGATGTATATATATATATATATATATATATATATATATATATATATAGCAGTTGAAGCGAATNCCCCCAACAATCCCACCAAGTAGAAAACGTAAAGTGAGTTAGAGCTCACCACTAGTTTCATCAATCCGATCACAGCTGCTACTACGCCGTGGTGCAATGGGTGGTTGGACGGCGGTCGAAGCGGTGGAAGGCGGAGGAGGTAGGGGTGGAGGCGGCATTCGGATACGATGACGTTGAAGCTCGTGTTCCACCGCCTCATTAATATCAGAGGAAGTGCGAAGGGTCTCTAGGCGAGTGTAGACCACCTGAAAACTCGGCCGCTTCTCTGAATCCCATTCCCAACCTGCAAATAATAGTGGATAATTAGAATGGGGTAGGGGTTAAGCTAACAAAAAAAGGCAAACATGTTGCATTACACGATGCCATCGTTCACTCAAACGAACACCAATTTGTTAATAATATTAGGGCAATGCATTTGAAAGAATCCCCACTTTATGCAGGCGTTAGGTATAAGAAAAAGAACAAATTTAAACATATCCATTGGCGCATAAACAATGGGTTAAAACGATACGTCCCATTGAGCAATAAAAAATGTTACGACCTCAGTGTAAATAGACAATTCACAAAATGACCAGAAAGAGTTGGAATAGGTGGAAAGCAGAGGGAAGGAGAGACTAGGTACATAAAAAAAAACAAAAAAAATAGATATAGCCTATTGTTAAATCAGAGAAAGCAAAAGTTTCAGTATTTCAGTTGGCAGTAGCAGGGGGTTTGACTATATCAAGGCAGACTTCGAGTGGCAAAATACTTGAAGCCTGACGTGAGGTGATCATCACAAATAAACGTTAATTTAACTACCTCACTCGTGCATGCTATTTCATGACGGCATTTATAGAAGTAATTAATTAATTAACACACACACACACCCCGCACTCATAGTTGTTGTGTTCCCGGAATTGTTCAGAAATATTTATTCTCATTGTGTACAGTTACCCTATTGACTAAGTCCCTGTACGCGAATACGTGGCACTTCGCTCTAGAATTCTGGCATTCGTACCGCTTAGTTAAAAACAAAAATTAGTTTCTATGCCTTGAAATAAAAAAATAACGTTATATTTTACAGAAATCGGGTTGTGAAGTGTGGAAGTGGGGGATGATGTATGTGGATAATTATTAACGAACACATAGAAGACTCGTCCAACCAATAAATGAACATTCAAGAAGTTGATTAGAGGGAGATATTTGAAAAGAATTCATTCGTGCGTTCTTTCACTGTAACTATCCCCCCCCCCCAACACCTCGCTATAAAGTTCATGTCCTCATAAATCACGAAAGGCCGGCACGTGGGTTGGAAAATTTCCGACAATAGGAATTCATAGAAGATAGAAGACGCCAGGCAGAAGCCTCGTGAGAACGAGTGCATAGTGCATCATATTAGATGTTGAAACAGAGAAAATTAAAAAAAATATATAAAAGAACTTCGAAGGGAAAAGCATAACTCAAGCCTAATTTGAACAGGAGACAATATCCAGAGCCGAAATTACAAGAAGCGAGTTTTCAACCGCTTCCCGCCCCCCCCCCCNNNCCCCGCCTGCCCCACCTCTCATCATCTATCAGAATTAAATAAAGTGGACATCGGATCTCATGACCGACTTGCAAGAAGACGTGTGACACTATGTCTTGAACCGAAGAGGAACTCGTAGTCAGGCGCTTTACTTCAAATGATTAGTAGAAAACAACGCAGACGATCTTCCTACTCACCGATAAATCTTGATCACAAAGACACTAACTTAACGCATACACGTACACCTGCGTACAAAATTGGCATTACAATAGACCTATTGGCAGTGCCCAAAACCCTCCAGTACCAATGAATCATTAGCAGTGAATGCAGACCCGATCCAAAATAAGTTCCTTGACGGAACCATAGACGATAAAAAAATAGCTACGGTCGTTTATTTCCAGACCTAACAATAGTTTGAGAAGAGCAAGTCATAATTCCGGCTTCTTTCGAGAGAGAGAGAGAGAGAGAGCGCCTTCAAACTTGTCGAGTAGACATGTTTCCCCCCCCCTCCCCCCCCCACGCCCATTTCTATTTACTATTTCCAAATGACGGGGTCTCTTCTTCCCACTTTGTTATGCTCTCCACATGGTCCAGCCCTGTTTTTCATTGCAAGGAGAAGAAGAAGAAGAAGTGTGTCGAGAAATGGAACAGGGCAAACAAAATTTGGCCAAGATGTTCTGTAAGCTATCGGCAAAATAAACACAGATGTCTATAACTAAAACAGTCAATTAGTTAATTTGATAAAGTATGGAGCGTTCAAAGCCCTCATAGACATAGAGTGGAGAAAAGACCCAAGTTTGTCAATAGGTCGGGCTGTCTCTCAGAAGGTAACACGATCACGACTGAGTATCTGAACAGGAGCGGCAGCTTATCTGTGATAGAGGACTAACAAAATATCAGGTAAATACCCTAACGGGGGTTAGAAACCGGGGACTTACAATCTAACATGAGTTGATACACAGCATCAGGGCAGCCTTGAGGTGCTTCCATACGAGTACCCTTCTCCAGCAGGACATAGACATCTTGAAGTTCAACACCGGGATAGGGTGTCGCGCCGTATGTCGCTATTTCCCACAACAGTACACCGAATGCCCAAACATCGGATTTAATGGAGAAGCAATTGTAGACGAGACCCTCCGGTGCTGTCCACTTAATGGGGAATTTGGCACCCTCACGTGCTCGATAAGTCACGTCTCGTTCCATATAACGTGCAAGTCCAAAGTCCGCTACTTTGACTGTTTTACTCTCACCTACGAGACAGTTTCGGGCTGCTAGATCTCTGTTTCAAAAGAAAAGGAATATATTAAGTCGATGGCATAGTGGAAGCCTGAAGAAATACAAACTAAGGATTATGAGACTAAGACTAACTGGAGATTCGAATAGGCATTCATTAAATAGACAAAAGAGTTGGGATTTCTCCATCACAGAGGCTCTAGGACGTCTTATAAGCTGATAGAGATTAATGTTATGAGTGAAAAAATATCACCTCAATTATTGACAATAAGCCCAAGATTCCTCTAAGGTCTCATAACTATCAGCCCATAATGGAAGTTTCTTGGTGTTTCACTTCTTCTAAAGTTACGTGTTGAAGGGTATTTCCGATAGAACTGTGAACTATTACAAAATTAAATCAGGGAGTACAAATTAGTTTCCCTTTAAGAAAAGGAAAGTGCTATGTAAGTGGCGATAAACCATTTTCCCCAACCATAACAATTTGTAAAAGGAAAAAACAATATTAAACTTGTTTAGCCTAACTGAGATTGATCGTTGAAGAGCCCAATTTTAGAGCAAATAAAAAGATTGAGTTAGATCACTGCCGATTCATATGGGTAATATTGAATAAAATTTGGGACCCCGATATGTAGGTGATGTAATTAGCTAACGTACCTTCAAATAGAATATCAAATTATTTAAGAACGTGCAGAAATGTTTGGAAATAGTCGAACAAACATGCTTTCAAATGAGTTATGGTGGTATTCAATACCTTTTATACAAAGTAGACTAACCTCTAGTAACTTTTCATTCGATGCCACTTTATTAAAATGACAATTTTATGACAGGTAGCATTGGAGCAATGACCCTCTTTAACCCTAGTTTAACGACTTGAATTCTTAATAGGAGGGGTTTATAAGAATGGCAATAAAAAATTTCGTCCCTTTTTGCGTGAATTAAACTCAATGAGTGGTAGTAAGAGGTATACGAAAGTTTAAAGTGTCATAGAACCAGGACACATTCTGCCACTGACTTACCTCCAGTGAAGTCGATGTTTCCCTCAAGGTCAGTCAGATAGCCCGACAATTATCCCCTTTCGTCCCAATCCTAGACATATGAAATATTCCTTATAACTCCCAAGCCCATTAAAAGTGCTACCAGCGATTGGCTTGAGGTTATCAGAATTAACCAGTGCGGTTGAACCCTAACACTGATCATCGATCGCATGAACTATGAATTTGCAAACACACACACGCTGACAACCACTATCGTGTTGTGACATCTTCCAATGCTTGAAAGGTGGCACTATGAATGCTGGCCATCTTACAATAGTGGAAGCAATGCATGTTGCTACATGATGGGAAGATGGTACCAAAGGAAATATATCACGGACATTACTCCACCATTTGGAGAGGGGGGATGAGGGAGGGAGGGAGGGGGGCGGGGGGGGGAGAGTAAGACTCACCACCTAATTTTCAGGTGATAAAGTAACAAATTAACAAGTGAATCATAGAAGTGACATGGTTAAAATCTGTGCTCGTGATGAATGGGCGACAGACTTCACTCACGCATCACTGAATTATAAGCCAAGCACTAAAGGCACCTGAAAGAAGGGACTTCGAGCTTCTTCATTTGCACCCACATACAGTCTCAGGTGCTAGATAAATCGGACTACTAGGTCATAGCCCTAGTTGCAATATAGTGTCAGGGTTGAAAATAACGTTTGTATTCCATGCTTAATAGCCTTTATTCCAACGGGAAGGTTAAAATTCGAGAAGTGAGAGCCAAAGCATCTTCCAACCTGTGATAAGCCTTGATAAGATAGACGAAGGATTCCTCAGAATGGGAAAGTACAAGGAACTGTAGTTAGTCAACTAGTTAGGAATTTATTTTTTTTTGCGTTAGGAGTGCGGCATAGCCAAAATCTGGGCCTTATATTAGCATCGTCCGATTTTGACTGGCATAGTAGGTCGGCAGACATTTGATGTCATATAGACAAGTAATCGTAAACTATTGCGACGCAAATAATTTCTCCACGAATTTTATTTGCGGAACCTAATTAACTTGCACATCATTGTGTGCCTTACAATCTACATTCTGCCTCCCAATTGCGACTTCATTTACCTTGCTTTGTAATAAAGTTGGTTTATAATTAGTCGGTCGATTCAATTCCATAGCATTGGGTGGCTGTAAGCACTAGACTCTAACGATAATAAGCAAGTAAGATATTCTCCAATACAGATTAAAATATCTAACACAAATTCGGAGTTATGACTTCGCCTAGCAGACGTTTTTATGACGATGGTGTTAGATCACAACAAAACCGAGAGACGATGAGTGGACGAGGAACGTGCCTACGTCCCATTAAAATGAAAAGAGTTATAGGAGCCCTTAACCCATCCGAAGTACGGAAATAAATGGCACCCAAAGAAATGACCAATGAGAACAATCATTGATGAAATTGATGATTGAAATTGAAATCTACGTCTCTGATACATTGATGTTAGAATACAGTGATGAATCAATTGAGATTTTTTGGGAGGTAGCCTACAGTTCGATAGTTACCAGTTTCCTTGCAAAAAATACAAAGAAAGTTAAAAAGAAAGCCCCTAGTTTTCAATAGTAGCAAAAAAGGTTATTTTCAACACACACACACATGGAATAACCGACACACTAATCTTGAGAAAATTAAGAGCTTTAAGGGAATACTGGTTGTCAATAATTCATAACTAAGAGGGATTGAAAAATTAGTTTGAGAGAGTATTAACCATAAGAGTGAAATAGTTAAAGACTAACTCTCAT